GACCCCAGTTGCGACAGTCGCATCACACGCTTGACCCTGGCTCCATCCCTATCCATAAAATTGTAGTAGCAACCATGTGGTACCACTACACTGTCATCACCTTCACCAACAAATTTAAGGTGAGCATTTTATTGAGTGAACTAGCAACGATGAAGCAAAAATTTTGAGTTATACATTCGGCACTGTCATCCGCACCAATGCAACAGCAGCACTGAGGCAAAAGACACCAAAAAAGGCTCAAACGCACCGCCCGTGCTAGGATCTTCACAAATGCATCAGTAGTGATGAGAAACGCAACGCCGTCAAATCTCTCTATACTGTATCGTCAGCAGGAAAAAAAACAGTAGCAAACATGCGGCATAAACCCAACACCGTCAGCAACAGCAACAACGTTACGATGCAGTGCTGTATCACCCTTGCAAATCCAAGAACAATAAGGCAAAAGCAAACACAAAGATAATCTGAAGCTCCACCAATACCTATCCAAAGCAGCGATGAGGAGAAAAAACTCACTGATCCTTGGCGCTGACATTGGCTAGAAAAGTGCAGTAGCACCACTTGGTCACCAACATTGGCAACAACAGCGTCACATTTTAGCAAAACTCTGCGTTGCAGACGGACACTTCCTCCGAAATGCAACACCATTTGAGCAGCGATGGAGCAGCAAAACATCAAGTATCAACTGAAGCATCACCACCCACAACAGTGCAACAGCAGCGATGAGGAGTAAATAAGCCAGAAGCAAAAGCATTGATACGCAATACCACCCTTACAAATGCAACAGCAGTAACGTTCAACACAACGCCATTTGCAACTTCAAAATCGGTCCCATCAGCACTCATCAACAAAAGCAGTGGCAACCATGCGGTGCCACTACACAACATCAATTCAGCAGTTGTGGTGCAGTTGGTAACACTCTCACAAATATGCAGTGCACCGGGAACACGCCAAAGATGCTATTGAAGCGTCCGTCACAGCTCTGCAATGACAGTCGAGGCAATGAACAACCACCAAGAAAAATTAACACCACTCACAGTATCTTCCTTACGATTGCAGCAACATCGATAGGGAGCGCAACTTATGGGGCCTTGAGGCTGCGGCCATGGGAACACTATCCACAGGTGCATAGCAGTTATGAGGGGGATGATTACACCTTGGGCATTAATGGTGCGGTGCAGGTCAGGCAGTGTTATCTTATAAATGTAACAGCAGCGATGAGGCAAAAACAAGCACTAAAAACTACTCAAAGGCAGTGGCTCGGGAAAATGGCGACTGCGGGCTTTCTACACCTAAATGGCCTCCTGGGCCAGCTAAGTCTTGCACTGTGCTTGAAAAGTCAAAATAGTGCT